ATCAGCTTACAATTCAATTACCAGCAACGACCACAAGTAAGAAGTAAGGCGGTCCTTTTTTGAGTTTGATAAATGCATTTTAGACTTTGCGACTTTGGAAACCACGAAGTATCTAGGTCGATCTTCAGATCATTCCACGCTTTCGTTACAACCTAGCCAGTATCCTTTGCTTTCCATTCCAATGAATCCGTACCNGCTCGACCCTGGTGGGGTGCAGCTAGTCCCTCGACGGACTTGTAGGGTCAACTACTATAAAAAGCAGCTCTACGACATCTTTTCATCTGGGGGGCTTGCCTCACTTTCGTCTAAGAAGGGGTTCTCAATAACTAGCTTCTTCTCATATATCTTAGTAAAAGTATAGATCAAATGCGGAGTGGCTTAGCGATTCCAAATGAAATCCGCATGCACGGCGCATTAATATCTGCTGACTGCTTTGTTGAAAATTAACCCTGGTTCCATCGAACGAAGTTTCATCGCAGTGAAAGCTTAAGCAATGGAAATGTAAAGACTACGACGATGGGAACAGCAGCTTGCAGGCGACACTGACAAGGAAAAGGTTCCAGATCATTTCTGCAAGAACCACTGCTTTATTAGAGAACTCCGGTAAGAAGGCTCGTTCTCTACGAAATGGGCATTCATGCATATATGTACAAAGTGGAAATGGGCTGGGGTATAACATTACGGCCCGTTCCGCCAACCACTAATGCATACATCTGGCCGTCACGAAAGATTGCCCAGATTTCAACCTGCTTACTTAATGCATAGGTGGGGTCCCAGTGATTGGCCCGCGGCCATTTGGATAAATGAGTTTTTCAAGAAGGACTTGGAGCTGAAAACGGTATTTTAGATGGAGAGCTAGGGAAAACTCCTGAGAAAAATCTATAATTTGAGGAGTGTCCCTAAATTAGTGATTCGTGTAGTCGAAGGGACCAGTGTAGGTGGTAATGGATTTACGGCGCTCCAGTATGTAGACCTTTGTGGCTTTCCCCACCTCGTGCAAAAAACCCCCGAGAAAGCCCGAGTATGTAGCTGTCAAAACATTTGCCTTGATCATCGAAAACCGCCCATACACATAAAACAGCCTTCCAGCAAGGAGGGGTAGAACATGATAGGAATTACTTTTACTTGTATAACAGTGACATAGACAACCGATCGGCTTTAAAGTGTAGGCAGCCAATAGGCAGAAGACATTACCTTGTCGAGTAGGAGAACGAAAAGGCGATTCAGGAGGAAAACGCTGAAATTCAAGGACGAAGTGACACCAAAACGTTCCCGCTTCAGTATAGGAGTGCTTTCGAGAAAACAAGAACGGCCTCAGGGAAATTTATCACAAAAAGGATAGGCGGAATCTCGTGGGAATTGCATTCCGGCGTTGAATATCACCAAAAAATGGCTGAACAACAGCCGAGTGCTCCACTGCTGTTGTAATTCCACTGTGGTCCGAATTTAGGGCTCCAAATTTCACGATTCTTTGGAGGCGACTTCCCAATTATAAGTTGACAACTTGCACTCCGGTCACGGACCTTTTTGGAGTCACTATTGACTGTCAGTAAAAGCAGTAATACTTGTATAGGATACATACGCATACAAAGGGCCCTTACGACTTCGAATGAAAGTTGAGTGCTGGGCGCATCCCGAAAACGGGACCGCTTAACCTCAAAGAATTCACATTTTCTCTTTTCTTGTGCACCTCGGTATAGGTAATGAGTGAAGGAAAGGATTCTCAAATATCTATATGACAACGTAGCTGACAATGTAAGTTTATTGACATCGAGACTAATTGTTTACTGTAATTTTGTTTACAAAACAGCTTTCAGAGTTGCTAGTGGTGGGAATTCGTTGAATCTGAGATGTACAATGATTTTTCCTCTCCGAACACTCAAGTTTTCATACGGTCGACAGGACGCTCGATCGCCTCCTCCTAAAAACCGATTTCAATACAAAGGGAAAAAATGAGTGCAACGAAAAAATTCCCATTGAGGCACAAGAATTAGTGGGAAACAAAACTCACTTGGGGCAGGAATGCTTCGCTACCAGGGGGATCGCTATTCATTTGCCCTTCCTCAGAGATACTACGAACACGACGACAGTAAGAGCAGCCACCGTAGTAGTAAGGGTAGCGACTGCATGCCTCTGTAGTAGTGGTGGCGATGAGCACAATGAAGGCAATCGTAAAGCTCAACATTGATCTGAAATACCCATTACTATCCCACCCATTACTATTTGTTATAGGAACCAACCAACATGGAAGTATTTTATGATCATCACTGACATCAAAAGACGGGTAAAGAGAAAGGAGGTACCGTAAAAGAAAAAAGAAAAAGCAGACATAGACGAGTTCTGAACTCAAAATAGAAACGTTTATGGTATTTACCTTCAGTGTTTGGAGTTGTGGAGTCGAAAATTTGGCTACGAGGTCATTTGAGAGGTAAAGTAAACAAAACAACGCAAAACAACCGAATGAAACAGCACCGACGAAGAGAAGGTATCACTGGAAGTCTTAAAAACACATCGCCTGAACTTCACCTGTTTGTTGAACATTTCGAAGGCATCCCCAAAACTGAAAACGAACTGATTATGAAGGTAACACAAAACCAAATGGTTTAAATAGTTCCATTAGTGAGTAACCGCTGAATCAGCTTACAATTCAATTACCAGCAACGACCACAAGTGAGAAGTGGGGCGGTCCTTTTTTGAGTTTGATAAATGCATTTTAGACTTATCGAACTTGGAAAACCATGAAGTAACTAGGGCGATCTTCAGATCATTCCACGCTTTCGTTACAACCTAACCAGTATCCTTTGCTTTCCATTCCAATGAATCCGTACCGGAGAGGAATAGATCAGATTCGTGGTCGTTTCTGGGTGGAAAATGGCCCATCGCTTTACAAGGAGCTATTCAGCACAGCTGCTAGCTTGCGAGTTTCATTCAAGACTGTCTCGTTAACCGTTCCGATTTATTGAAACATATGTATCGATAATCAGGAGATGGAGCGGATTGACTCTTTCTAGAAATAAAGTTTCAATTGATTCCTTCAAAATTCCAAATGAAGCTTCGAAAACTTCTGATCAGAGAAGGCCCATGTGCCACGCTCGACAGAGCAAATACCGTGCTACCTGCCTTCATGGTAGTAAACAGTTGAAAATTTGAGATGAGCTTTTGTTCTGGTCTTCCTCTTATAGTCTTTCGGAGTAAAATATTTCGCCAGCTCACGTTCAAGAAGCTTTGAAGCTGATTATAGCGAAAACTCAAATTTCCAGTTTTTGGGAATTATTTATGTTAAAATACTCAACATCAAAACAACAACAACAAGAAAGTCGATATACAAGTATGAGATCCATGAGAGTAGACGTCCTCGATTTTTGTAGTACACGCATTGTTCATCCTGGATTTTTCCGACACGATCTATCCATCGAGATCCGTAGTCAAGTGGGTCCATGACATGATCCAGGAATTGACGATGAAGCTAGAAGGCGGTCACTCACACTATCAAAAATCAATATCTATGCTTCGATGTGCCAACAAAAAATCGATCTACTAGCTCTTACTCGGTATTTCTGCCTCAGACGCCTGCTACATACAATCTCACAACTTATCGGCCTTCTAATAGGTAACATTCCCCTACTGACAACTTTTCCTTTTACCCTTTTTCCCTCTTTCTCCTCCAGTCCGTCATCGGCAGGATTTTCATTAGCTACTGTAGCGTCGTCCTTTCGATATGAGCTCATTCTAGCGTTTTTCATTTCGTTTTTATAGTTTTCCCTTTTCTATTACCAATTTCATTTCCTTGGGTTAGTCTCCCCAGACCCCTGTCTAATCCTTTTACTGTTCTGTTTGTTCGCTTCTCCCTGCGGCCTTCTACTTTCTCGAGTCTCATTTCTCGTTGTTATAACTTCTACATAGCTCACCATCTCTCCCATTTATTTTCCACCTCGTACAGATGTCCACGTTCTAAGAACATTGGGCAATTGAAAATTCATTGATGTACCCAGAGAGTCTGTAAATAGTACCTACCTTTCGAGTGTTGATTGCGAAGCTAGTATCCGTAAGCACTCGATTGATTTTTGAACTAAGTTCCTCTCTCGTTATGTTCTGAATACATACATATATGAGTTATAGGAACAGTTTTACAGAAAAAAACCTTAAACGAAAACAAAAAAAAACTGTCTTTTTCACTAAAACTTTCGTTTTCACTAAATGCTGAGGACTCAAAGGAATATCGGTGACATTTGGCCTATTTCAAAATGAAAGCGGTACTTTCAGGTGCAGCCGATACCAGTTACACTGAGGGAATGAACAGTCGTGGGAAAAGGTGTGGCTAATACAGCCTGTAGTGATCGAATCCCCATCGTGCCATCAAATCCCTTCAACTTCGCCGAGCCAATCTCCCTATTGCATTTTCGGGTGGGGAAGTCATTGGACGGATCCTGACTGTTTATTAGGTCAGGATAAGAGTAAATACTGTTTTGAATGGGAATATAAGTTTGTATGATAAAAAGAAAAGCTTAACCATTTTATAGATCACATCAGCGATACCCAGACGACGAGCGAAAAGAGCATTTCGAGGTTGATCCGCGAAGAAAGGTAAGAAAAGCATGGGGGTATTCGAGCATATACCTTCTTTTATACTGAAAAATAAGAATTAGCATGAACAGTTGCGGTCAGCACAAGAACAATCTTTTAAAGTCTCAAAAAAGTGAAGAAATTTGGAATAAAAAAGACAAAGCGAACAGTTCCCCTTCCGCCTAGACCTGACTTCTTCAAAGCCATTTCCCCTACCTTTTCAATCCACCATGGGTAAAAAATAAAACAGTTTTATTATGAGCGAGTATGTCGTTTTGTGGTGCCCATCGAAGAAGTTTCACATGCGGCTTTTTGTCCTTCACCTGAGTACATACAAAGTACAGAGGAATGTCTAGAATTCCAAAAATTTCCGTGGCTCAAGAAGAAAGAAGGAAAACCGAAATTTCTGGAAACGAATCAAGTTTAATATAAGTACTATGGCAGGATCCTATCCAAAACGAAATGAATCAAAAGTATGAAGAACAAGGATCTTATGAAGAGTGTGACAGCTCAGCAACACCTGAGCTCGATTCCTTTTCCACAGGTCACTTGAAGCATCGTATCTTAGGCGTTGTGAGGAGACCCTACCTTAATTTTTTGGCTTTTTCGCCTTCTTCAACGTCTGTGAGCACAAAAATATCCGAGATGCAGCTTCATCGAACGACATTTCAGACCTTAGCTTAGTTCGAAGGATATGCTGTAGATACCCAGAAATGCCTTGTAAACTACAACTTAGTTAGGATCTGAAATGTCTTTCAATGAGGTTCCATCTCAATTTTTTGGTTTATAAGCCCTGACGAAGACGACAGGGTCAAAACGTTACTCGCGAGAGGTTTCGGCATCTTTGCCGAGTCTTCACAATAACACCCAAGACACCGATAAGGCATGCCAGTGTTCAATTCCAGTGGAACAGGCCCCTCTAGGCATCTAGTTCACAGCCTGCATAGCAGGAATCTTTCATCAGCCCAACTCATGACTTTAATAGGTATCGATCGCAAATGAGCTCTGAATAACATACCTCTGGCCCTGCATAGCTAAATATGATTCTGTAGTCACTGAAGATATTCAGAGCATCGAAAAACGTGGATATGATCTAAAAAGAAAAAGTTTCTAAAGAAGTACTTTCGATAAGCACACGTGAATCAAACCTCTGGTTTGGCCGCATTCCAGTTGACAAGCGACCCAAAAGCTATGTATATCGTTCCTTTTGAAGTTGGATCCTCCACAAAGCTCTTCAAACCTGGCGGAAGCTCTTTCGATTCTGGAATTGGGATCGTTTAAAAATGTTGTTCAGTAGAATGAGAAACCGAAAATAAAAAACAAACCTTGACAATATTCGCCGACGTGAATCAGATCTGTTCCTATGGGGGAGGGGTAGCCATAGCCTGATGGGAAATCCGTCAAACTGGCATGGGACGCCTTTGAATAACCAAGATCAATAACTCTGGGTCAATCGATCCATAAATGAAGTTAGAATGTTTTTATAAGTAATCCAAACCTCGAAAATGGTATCATAGGAGTTGTAGACGTTCAGTACTTCACCAGCTTTTTTAAGCCATCGATTACATGCGATCACGATGTAGTACTGTAAAACTGTTTTCAAATGTCTCCTTCAGTCGAATTTGTTCAAATATTATAAAACAACCTGCTCGTAGATCAGATCCCGTATGGAAGCCAGTCGAATAAAGAAGTTCGTCACATCGAAGCTCATCATGTTATAACCTTTTGTATAGTAGCTGGAAATACGCATCATTCCTGTGATATTCATTGCTAAGTTTGGGACGTTCATAGTCTGCGAATAGAAGGCCGCAGACTATAAACGACCCAAGTCTGCAAGTCGATGATATGTACCAGTATTTGTACAAACACTTACTCTGGGGTTATGATAGGATTGCGTGAGAATCCTCTGTAAACGCTGTACTGGTTAGAGAAATCTGCAATTGAAAAGCGTTTAACTGCTTGAAAAGCTGAAAAGATTGATAGTAATGTAACTGATGGTAAAATATCTTGATAATTGATGATGAAGAAATAACTATATGCATGCCTTAGGAATGATTTTCTGGGATTTATCACTATTTTGGCAGAACTTCAATAGAGTTTGAGAATTTTTCCGAAAAAAAATTAATTTTTCTCCAAAATTGGGAGTCCCCAGCAGCATGCCCATCGTGGTGATCTTCTTTCATCACCCCATCTGAGACCCCATGACCTCTCTTCACCCGTTGACCCTTTTTTTGAAGTTTTCGGGTTGATAGTAATTCTAGGGATACCTGTGGTCGCAAAAGTGGCAAGCTTTGTTCCGTATCTTTCACGTAAAGCCAATGCCATGGCTCCTTGAGCAACTGCGAACAGCTCGTCCAAAATGACAACATCCCATTGAGTATCCATGACTTTTTGAAAAGTCTCTGCAATATTAATATTTTTACTGTGGCTGCAGCCATTACATGCAGAACGAGTGACCATAGAGTCATTGGTAGTTATAGTGAGTAGGAGCGGATACTACTGCAGTAATCAGTCACAAATTCAATTAGGGAACTATTCAATACAGAGACGTTGTCAATCAGTAAGAAAAGATCAGCCACGTGGAAAGACGGGAGAACGCCCGTTGCGCGCGTTCGTCGGAAGTAGGTCATCCCGCCCACTTCGCGCGCGGTGTACCCCACTGAGGTCTCGAGATGACATTACAGTACCACCAAGTGTCAGTGGAGCGAACAATTTGCATTTGTCCGTGTTATCTCCTCTCTGAGTTGATTGCCATGGACCAAGCGCAAACCATATGCCCCACTGACAACTGCGACGTCCGTCAAGTACCGCGGGCTGACGCGCCGCACGCGACGGCTGTGGCGTGACCTAGTCTCTATGGACGCGCGCAACGATGCGCACCTGGGAAGACGTGGTAGTTCCAACTAGACTACACGCCCACAGTGCAATCTGCCTTCAACCGTTCATTTGGTGGTTATGGCAAAACGGTCAACGGGTGAAACCCAAATAGTAGCGAAATTAGTCCGGTAAATTGAATCCGGGGAAAACCTCTCCTTTGTACCTGGTTCAAGAAACCAGGAATTCAGTGGGAACCAGCCGTCCGCCTTTCGGACGAGCTGAGTGAGTAATAGATCATACAAGGCTGGAGGCTGGTGCCTTTTAGTACTCATCCCCTACAAGACCATATTACTACGGAACACTTTTCGGAGGGCGGGGTTTAAAGATTCAGAAGGATATTGCCATGGTAGCGTTTTCGTAGCTCACTTATGCCTCACTGTATCCACTGAATCAATCCATAGCTCAACAAATTCTCCCAATTTTGAAGGTAGAGTTGAATACGTGGCGCACTCTATGAAAACCAATACCGCAACCACTCATAATTCGTTTTACTCCTCTTTACTTTACAGACTCAAAATGATCTGACGGAATACTCACCGTCTTCCAGTGAATACATCATATAATCGTAGCTAATCTTATGCGGCGATTCAAAAATTTCCGGCTTCATCTCAAAATTCCAAAAAAGCGTGTCCACCGTTTGTTGATCTCTCGTGGGCTGATCTGCTGAAATCTGATCCAGTGCTTATATTTAAGAACTTGTAAGTGGAAGTAGAAGAAGACAACACAAAAGACATCAGGAAAAACTACGCAGAAACATCCGCACTCACGTCTAAGTACAGTCTCGAGAGTATTCACTCCTTTACCAAGTGGACCAATTGACTTATGTAGCATCGAGTAAATTGTCACGTTATTTCCTTTTTCCACAAGCCTTAAATTGCACCTGCTATATTTGGGAAATATGCGGAAAACCATTTACAAAAAGTTATTAGGAAGTATTATATGTTATCAGACATTAAGTAGAAGCATCACAAGTTTTATGAATTTGGATAAATTTGAGGAAAATGCCGGGTCAATGGGGTGTGACGGATAGGCAGAACTCAAAAAAAAAGGGGGATTCAAATTTTGTTCCGAGCTTGAAGGTTGCTTTTCATTTTTTTCATCACCTTGTTAATTTCACAATTTCTTGGCAAACGGGCAACCAGCTCATGAACCATCCACGGTCGATTGTAGTCAATTTGCAAAAAGATCGACGTTGGATGGTCTGACTGTGCATCAGCCAAGCTAGGCTGGTTTGTAAGATCCTATCGATTCGTGCAGATCAACCCAAACCGCTTCGCGAATGCACGCGCCTATGCAAGATGCTCAGAACTTTAAAGAAAACAATTTGTTTTACAATCAGAAAACACGTCCTATTACAACAACCTACATTTTGCGGTGGACCATCAAAGGGACTGCTTCTTGCTTCCATACATTTCCATAGAGGTGTACCTGTTCGTTTTGGGAGAAGAAAGGAGATACAATTTGGCTCCGGATGAATGGTCCTCACAATGGAAATTTAGGAAATCTGTGGGTTACTGGTGTGAAACGATGGCTTACCATTATTTTCCGATGATTTTTATAGAAAGTCACTAGTAACCCGCAGAATTCTACTGAAGGCCAAGGAATTTCGGAGTAAGACCGCTGCTGTTTTCCCTTTACAAATCACTTGTTAGTCAACTGGTATCCCCTTTCGGTCTCCTTTACAATAATATTTCGGCCTTCACAGAAGGAGATCATCGGTGGAATGTGGTAGATCAAGCAATGATCAGCTCGTTATCGATTTATGATCCTGAATCACTTTCGAGCGCGTTTCCATATCGCTCTGATGACTGCTTTTGGTTTCTGTCTTCTTTTTCAATTCCACTTATTATTTTTCTTTTTTACGGTATTGACACTTGCTTTTACCTATGCTGATATCGTACCACAATTAGCAAATGTTTACCGCAGTAATTGTTTTGTAAACAATGCCATACTCGTGTGGGTTACATCAAACGCTTTCCAGGGTTGAATGTTCTGTTTGTTATTCGCCCGTCTGGTGTACACTGCTACATGGCTTCACCGACTTCCGACTTGCTCCCAAGTATCGCCCACGAGTAACGCTTCCAAGTTCTGAGGTCCAGCGGAAGGATCAAGACTGAGGTAGGAGAATTACCCTGACTTTTCTTTGGTAGTTGTTATAATGCCAGAAAAAGAGCTAGACTGCAGAATTAGTTACCAGGTAAGCTATATTCTATAAACCTGCTATGTGGAAAAATACCGAATGTATTGTATTTGGGTAATTTGCTAAGGTTTGGTTGAGTTTGGTTGTCTCATGCATCATGAGTGTAGGAAGAGTGAGTCCTACAACGAATTTGTTCGACCCCAGAGGAATGCAATCGCTTTCTTAGTTGAAGTCACATTTGTCTTTAACTCTGTTTTGATTACTTCGATGTTTGCCTGAATGATTATTGTTTACATTCTGACATGCTCAGGAATTGTTGCTGCACCTGAACGACTGATAAACCAGGGGAAGTTTCTTATCAGTGCAGAAAGACACTACCATGAAAGGAAGTAGGTGGGGTCTAAGCAGGACTGGGCGGGTTTTGAACGAGATAAGTTGCATCTCGGCTATTAATGAGGTCTCACCCGCTAAGCATTGTTTTTTCGATGACCTTTGATAGGAAAGCAAACGCTCAACTTGCTCCATAAGTAGTCTAATAATCGGAATCATGTATCAATTTGTGAACCGTCGTCATACAGTAACCTACAGAATGCTGGAAATTTCAACATAATAAAATTACCCTTTGGATTTCGTTCTTTACCAACTGGCCAATTTTTGATCTAAATGATGTGGCGATTCAAAGAAAGTTTCGTTCTGGCACAGTTCAGAGCCATAATGCGAATTCCGTTACGACAAGAGGGAAGATGCACCAATAGAGTTATCCACGAAAAGGGAATACATATATAGCCGCTAAAACAGGAAAATATTGAATTTACTGAATAATTACCAGTAGGAAGTACCTCTCAGCTCTCACGGCAGTATAGTACATTCTCTATGGAAAAACTACTTCCCGTGTTGGAAATTCACTCTTACCCCTCTCTCCATCTTAAGCTGAAACTCCTGGACCACTATCATAACCCACTGGCCCATAAGGATAGCTCCTAAATCAAGCTCCCGCTTCTCGTTTTGTTCTGCCTTGTCCTATGCTGGGAAGTCTCTAGGCGTTCCAATGACAACTTTTTCTTCGAACAACTTTAATTCCATCTGTCTCACGGGAGTTCGAGAAATTGAAACCCCTGGGAATATCTCGGCAATATTCTAGCGTGTCAACGGCTATGATTGACAGAGCTGTTGAGATCTTCTCACCAGATTTCCTCAAGAGTTCGGGGATTTAAGTGCCTAGCGGATCATATGACGTCAAACAGACTCATATGTGCTGTGGATGTATTGAAATCGAATGCTTCTCATAGAATTATCGGATAATCTTCTCAAAGATCTCTTCAAAGCTCAAAAATCTCTAATAATCTTTGGTTTAAGCTGCGATTTGATTCCCTTTGTGTTTTGTTATTAATTATTTATCTGGTTACTTATTTATTTATTCAATTAAGGTACCATATCGACTTATTCGTTTTTATATTAGAAATTATTCTAAATTATTCAATATTCCAGGCTGTACGGAAAGTATAGGCTAAAAATTCCGCCTAGGTCCAGAATCTCCCGGATATTCTGGGAGCTTCCATTGGCTTTCTATGGAAGGACACTACCCACGCCTATAAATATCGGACTACCACTATCCTGCTTACATATTTACCCGTATAACGGGCCAACTTTTTCAACAGGTACTCCTTCACGAGTTCGAATCTGGGCACCTCAAACCCCAGAACCCCCAAAACCACCACTTGTATCATGAATATGGTCTCAGAGCCCCTTCTAAATGACTCTGTAGAAACCTTGTTCCAACGCTTCGCAGCCTGTTGCAGAAAGATCGGAGACGAACCTCGTTCTGGTAAGCGACTGTTATATTATGAAACCTCTTGTTGTGTTGTGCGCGAGTGGGTGATGTCCTCTAAGAGTACTTCTCTGAAAGCTAGCTCCCAGAGAGTCTTGAGAGAACCCAAACGATTGTGAAATTTTTGATTCTTTCCACACAAACCTATATATACATTTCAATAATATCTATGTTATAATTAATAAGTCGACATACTGTAATGATTAATTGTTAACGGGGAATCCATTTGCCGTCACATCAAGGCATGCCGTCACAAACTGCATATGCTTTCAAGGGTCCAGAAAACTCTAGTAAGCAGTTCTAAAAATGTGATGGAAATCCGATTCCCCAAATTATATCTGCGAGAAGTGGGAGCTAAAGGGGGTGGCCCTCTTTTTTCTCGTGCGAAACTCATCAGCTCGCAAATGCCCACGAGTTTGATATGGCGAAATGCGTGGGACATGGATTGAGTTGTGGTCGGGCTATGCGCAAGCATCAGCCAACTCGTCACCTCCCCGTACCCTCCCCTTCGAACTTGTCAAAACGGTGCTGTCTGACGACAAATGGGGGTAACGAAATTCGCCAAGTCTTAGATGCTTGACATCTCAGAGCAGCTATTGACTCACCCCCTCTGCTCTCCCATAGTTGGCCAACTAAGAGTCGTCCAACGAGTTGTTATAGGCCTAACTTGGGCCTAGGCTTGTTCGCCTCCCTATGGATTTGTTTACCTTTACCTTTTGACAGAAGGTATCTCCTAACTTGCTGGGATTGATGCTTTGACTACAAGACAGAAGTTGCTACCTACAACGTTTCCGATTACCGGTTACCATATATCAACATTTGGACTATTGCCCATATTTTTATTTACTTTTGCAGCTGTGTAAACAACTTGTTTCTTTAACTTGATTCAACTTGTTTCTTTAATTTGACTTCTTCCTTTATGATTTGTATTGTCGGCTTCTCATTGCCTCCAGCTTGCGGTTCTTTGTCTTGAATTTTTGTTTCGTGGAAAAAAATGATTTCAAAAATACCTCCGATTCATTATTAATTGTTTCTTAGCCTCGCTAAATCGATAGCAAATAGCAATAGCAAGCTAACAAGTAATAGCTAAGACTTGACGTCATTCCAGGACAAAAATCGGCTCATTCTAGGGAGGGATGGCTCCTTGAGTGAGCGAGACTCGACCTCGAAAAGCATGTTCGCTGGATTGAATGGTGTGAAATTGGGGTTCCCATCATTGAAATCCACCACAATATTCATGATGGGTTCAAGGAAAAGGGATTCCAGGCTTAACCGAGCCTTTCCTCTTTTCGTTACCAAATTCTGCTATCGCATGTCAGCTCCCAGCCTATTCATTTATTATAATATTTAATAAGCGCCTTTTTATGTTGTCAAAATAGTAAATCAATAATTGCAATGAAGAATCGATAAGAACTCCGTGTCTTTACAAAAAAATGGATAAATAAGTAAATAAATAAATCCATGAGGGCTTGATGTTGTGAGTTCTGATTCGAGATGAGGGAGAAGCTCCAAGTTTACTGTCCAACGGGGGTTGCATCCAACTTCAAACCCCGTTTTAGAGACAATAGCCGAGGGTGCATGGTGGTCTTTTTACGTTGTCATAGCGGCGTGTATTAAAATGACCACTCGCTCTATCTTCCTGTTCTCATATCAGCCGAATTCCCATTTGTGAGCACGGGTGCAGAGTGAATTTATGATAGGGGAGTAGCTTGTTAAATCGGGAAGAGGTATGCATACATGCCTTAGAATTGCTTTGTACTTTTGCAAAGGTTTCGGATACATGGCGTATACCACAAGGACGAAACAATGCTGCCACATATTTTCATGCACTACTGAAAGTATCTTTGCTCATCGTGGTCACACTAATTTACCGTACCCCTTCGTGTAGGAAGTTCTTCAAGTTCCCGCCTATGTCATGTGTACATATGTACATGGTTGGTGCCACCGAGTTCTCACTTGGCTTTCAGCCGTCTGCCAATCTCTCATTCAAAACCTGGCTCATGGGAATTTTATAATCTTCTCGTGCAATCCACCAATCTCGCACTTTACTTATAACAATTTATGAAAAAAGGCGTTGGACATAGGACATACGGTCCATTTCACGCAAAATTGCCCTCTTTTTTCATTCATACTCTTGTTTTTTTTGGACCCTTCAAAAAACGCAAAAAGATTTACTGCCCACAAAAACCTATCAATAACTTGATAGTAATCGATTTCTGTGTAAATATGTGGAAGTGTAGGAATGAGCCTTGTCGGGTTAATTTTCAGACGAGATTTCTGCTTCTATGATTGGAAGAGTTAAGTTGAGCAATGAAACGTACCGACAGAAATTCCCAAAATTTCCGTGGAAAATGAATTGAACCCTGCTTTTCTAACTTTTTTCATGGAATTTCTCATATATGATAAATCACTTTGTATTGTTCGGTTGACACTTGCTTATTAAAAAAGTTTTGAAACCAGTTCGCGGTGTCAAGTAGAGCGCAGAGAAGAGAAATCTCTGCTCTGAGTACGAAGCAGAGGGATCCTTTTCCGACTGTTTTCCAGGCGGTTTCTAATAGGTAGAAGGTGTGGTCAGTCATAAAGGCTTCAAGAGAATTTCTTCTATCAAGCGTATATGATCTCGTTTGACTCCACAGCACCTCCTCTTTTGTCCTTCCAACTGAAAAACTTCGGAGGGCTCTGAAGGAGTAGTTGGTACATTCTGAGTTTACCCATTTGGGACAGGGGTGGGAGAGATTGAAAAGGTGGTCAGTAGGGTTGTCGAACTGTTTTGTAACTTCAAAAGCGAATACTTTTAATATAATTTATCTGAAAACACCTGATTCACGCCATGAACCGCCTGCCCACTCCTGATTATGGGAGAAATCGCCAATTTCTGCATCAGGATGCAGTAGCTACCTCTCCACATCTGAATGAAAGCCGTTTCCCCAAAATGCTCATGTGCATCAACGAATTATCTTCTTTGTCCTTCGACCCCTACTGTCTAAAGTTGACCGTTCATATGTTGTAAACCCTTCTTGTCGCCATTCGATTGACGCCAGCAGCACATCTTTTATCGATATACATTCATATTTCATGAAAATCATCGTTTTCATCGTCTCTATGGTGTCGTTTTTTATGAGGACTGGCCATCACTCTTTTCATCCCATTATTTTGAAGATTTTTCCTGACGGCGATTCACAAAAATAACAATTCCCGATGTCACCACAACGACGCGATTTCGGTCTATACCGTAATCCTTACTAGAGAATTTCTTCGATGCTTCTCATTTTCATCTGCGCTATCTCGACCCACATGTTCATGGTCTCAATGAGTGAGACCCTGGGATGATAATGCGAATTAGGACAATCCATATTTCTCTTTCTGGTTTCAAGGACCATCTGATTATGTTGAGAAAACTGAATCGAATCAGAAAAAAGTAAAAAAAAAAAGTAAAAAGTAATTTGTGCAAAGTAAAATAAATATTCGTTGAAAATTCTGCTCAGTAGTTGCTTTAACTCCCAGTTCTGTTTTTTGTGTAGAAATTTTCAATCGACGGTTAGGTTTCGGGAGCTTATGCTTTCACCAATTCGTTTTTGTATCGAAAGCAAAGAACAGGGGAGGGAACAAAAAGGGGGCGGACCTGGGAAAAGTAGGGTATCGGACTATTCTAAGCTAATCTGCAAGTGCTACAAATGTCTTTTGTGGGTTTCAATAACTGCCTAAAAACTACCTGCCCATTCTCGATCCGGGCGAAACTCACCACTGCCTGCATCAAAAGACGGTCACAAATTCTTGAACTGTCTTTGGAAGCTAGTGCTCTCCAACCTGTCTTACTTTTTCCAAATTTCTGTTATGGGAACATCCCCAAATTTTTTTTCATATCAGGGGAAAATAGTCTTAGCCATCGGGTATAAGATAAAAATTCGAGCTCAGAACTAAATTGAACTCATTGTCAGAGGCAGTAAGATCTCTTCTTTTTTCGGAGTTTGAAAGTTGATTGGTGCCAGATTCCGTCAAAAAAAGGAAATTCCGTTCACATTCCAGACCCTTTGCGCTGG